AGGGGGTCCCTGAGGGTGGGGGCACGCGTATGTTTTCCTGGCACTGTAGTGGTCCTTTAATGAGATCCCTTGAATAGATGTTGGCCATTTGAAGTCATTTTTAAATAGGAATTCTGAGTGCACACAAAGAACTGTGCTGGGTGTGCCAAGTCCCTATTCATTATTGAATATGACACTCTAATCACTAAAAAACAACTTTAGCTTAAAGGATCACTATAGTGTCAGGAAAACAAACTCGTTTTCCTGACACTATATAACCCCTAGGTCCCCCTCACCCTCATGGCCCCCTCTCCCTTGGCACTGAAGGGGTCAAAACCCCTTCAGTTATTTACGCTCCCTCAGCGTTGGTGACCTCTCCTCCCCCACCGACGTCAGCTCCCAAGTGGAGCGGAATGCGCATGCGCGGCAAGAACCACACACGCATTTAAACAGTCCATAGGAAAGCATTTCTCAATACTTTCCTATGGACGTTCTGCACGCTGAATCCAGCGTCACAGAAGCACCTCGAGCGGCTGTCAGGAAGACGGCCACTAGAGGCTGAATTAACCCTGCAATGTAAACATAGCAGTTTCATTGAAACTGGTATGTTTACATCTGAAGGGTTAAAACCTGGGGGACCTGGCACCCAGACCACTTCATTGAGCTGAAGTGGTCAGGGTGACTATAGTGTCCCTTTAATTAAGCATTTTTTTGTATAGATCATGCCTCTAAAGTTTCACTGCTCAGTTCTAGCTACACCTCCCCTCGCCTTCACTGACACAGCCTGCATGAAAAAAATTGTTTTATTTTCTATTAGAAGTAATTTACTTTAAAAGTTTTTATCTCCCTATTGACACTTTTTGTGATTAAAAAAAAAATTATAGTTTTGTTTTTTTTATCCTCTCACCAGAGTAAAGTAGGTCACACACCTAAAGTAATAACAGGGTAGCTAAAGAGACAATTGCAAATTCAGCAGTGAGCATAAATAATACTTAAAAGTGTAGTGAGGATTTCTATATGTATATGACTGGGAGTTAATAGGCAGCTGGAGCCTACGGCAAAAAAAAACTCCAATGAGAAAACAAAACTCCAGCAGATGTCACAAAAGAGCTGTCAAAGCTCGGTTGTATAAATAACATTATAAAAATAAAAAAGAGAGGGGGCGGAGCCTGGCAGCCGCACGGAGCGGTCGCCCACACTGAGAGCTCCGCACAAACGGGATCCTAAATGAGCAATAAAAGCAATTCAGCGACCCAAAACTACGATCCCTCGACACCACAACATCGGGAGGCATGCCTAACTCGCAACCCAGTTGTGTGTTCGCCCGTGACCGGTGGGAAACCCCGGAGGTGAGCCCGTGGCCTACAAGAGGCCTAACAGCAGCGCACGAGAAGGAGGCGGCCGATCCCTCTGCCTGCTAGTGAGTCCTCACCCGGGAGGACCATCCTGCACCTCCTCCCCCCCCAGCTGGTGTGGGTTATCCTGGCAAATATCAAGCGTTGTCTCACTAGCGAAGTTCCTGCTACTATACACTCAGGGTTACCCACCCGCCAAAACCAAGATGGCGGACGCCTCGTGCAACCCACTGCCTCAAACTAAGCGACTGACCCTGCAGGAGAAGCTTGACGCTTTACTCATGAACTTTTGGTCCACATTAGCCGCACGTCGCCACAAGCCTGCTGGAGCCCAGCCAGAATCTCCCTTGCCACTCACTACAGTGCAGCCCGCGACTCCTAGGCAACGCCTTGGGCCGGCATTGCCACTAGGGGAGAGGAAACAGAGGACATGTAAACAAACACGGCACTGAAGAACCCACCGGACACGACCCAGCAACCGCCCTGAATCACAGTCCCAACTGGGAAAAGCACCTAAATGCAACTTACCACCACGGAAGACCACAACTCTACGGGAATGCAAACAACCACCTACAGGACCTCGGGAAGCGACTGGTGAGCTAAGGGGTACCTCATGCACGAAACTCCACAGGTCTCCCTCTAGAGGACTTAATAACTGTTTTGATGCAATGCCCAGCAATCAAGTATCAGTTTGCTTTCCTGGGATAAACGTGTATGCACAAGTCCATTTTGTACATTGTTGAATTGCTCTGGGCTGTGTGTTTCAGATCAGCTCTTTAAGAGAGTCACAAACATGGAAGAAAAGAATCGCCATCCGTAATGTCCAGCAAATGAACAATTGATCCACTGTACTCTACAAATAAGAAGTGTGGCATACCCCATCTGCATTGGATTTTGTGAGACAGTAACACTGGTCTGAGTCTGGTGACTTCTGCAAGGTAGCTGTGTTTCTAGACAAATCCAGGAAAAAGTAGAGCATGTAGCCCTCAAATTTATTGCTACTAAAGCAGCAGCAGATGTGAGATCCATGTTGAAATGTAATTATTTTATTTAAGTTGTGAGTGATAGATGCAGGTGCCCATGTGGGCATTGTGAGTCAGAACATTCTACTTAATAATGGTATCTTCAGGTAGGCCTCATAAGCGTATATGCTTCATACTTGTCCTCCAGACAATGCCCTATCCTAAGAGACGTTGAGATTTTTTGTAATAGCAGGGTTGGTTCAGTTGCCTGTTGCTGGCATCTTCCTCTAGGGCTTTCACCCTGTCAGGTATTTTAAAGACTCATTCATATAGCACTATAAACATGTATTCCTGACCCTATAGTGTTAACAACACAATCTAGCCCCTGTTCCCTCTTTGCCCTCCTAAATATAGTAAAATCTGACTTTTATTCCAGTCAGCTGGTGCTGGCTTTACCTCGGATCTGCCTTTTTGGCTGACATTATTAGAAGTGATGTTCTCAATCAATCACAATGGGGTGGAGAGGGGAGAGGGTGGAACCAAATGCCACCCTGGCCAATCAGTATCTCCTCATAGAGATGTATTGAATCAATGCGTCTCTATGAGGAAAATTCAGTGTCTCCATGCAGAGGGTGGAGACATTGAATGTCACTGCTGCAAACTGTGCAGCACTGCCCCAGGAAGCACTTTTAGCAGCCATCTGAGGAGTGACCAGTGGAGGTGTCTCTAGGCTGTAATGTAACACTGCATTTTCTTTGAAAAAAACTGTGTTTACTGGAAACCTGCAGGTACTGACTTTACTCACCAGAAAAACTACATTAAGCTGTAGTTGGTCTGGTGACTATAGTGTCCCTTTAAGTTCTGCGTGTTGGGTATTAGATTATTCTGACAGATACCATCCAAGGAGTGTCCCACAGAAGGTACAGAAAGATCATCTAATACAAGCAGAAAAGCCCTTGACTTCTGTGTCCTGGTTTACTAAGGGCCTTTATCCAGGCTGTCTGGGCCCATGTCCACTCTTTAAATTTTTTCTTCCCCATGATTAAGGGAACCGTCAAGTAGCAAATTCCTTGCAATGAACACAGAAAAAACCCAAAGTAAAATATTAATATCTAACCAGGTGAATGCGTCCAGCAAATGACTCTGCCAGCAACTCGTTACGTTTTGAATAAAAAGCAACCATGGCTATCTTTCTATACACTAGAAATCACACTCTGTCTAAGGAAGCCATTTAATTATGGGAACCACTGGAATTAATTGCCATATTTTTAGGATAATAGCTTTGTAATAACAGCTTAGAAAACATGTTATGTAAGTTCGAATACCTAGAGTTAATAATTGCTCTGAAATCAAAACACGTTTGTTTGCCTTTCACGCCAAGTAACAAGCAACAAGCACACGGCAAGATAAAAAGGAAAACCACTGGTGTACTAAAAAAAAAAAAAGATCATATTTTACAGAAGCTCCTGTGTGTATTCTTCTGTTACCATATGATACAGACTAAAGCCTAAATGTTTGATAATGAGCTTGCAGATTAAATGTTTATCTCTGTACAATACGATTGGATAATATTTGCTTTTCACAGGGCTGATCCGATTGAAACGATTGTATCTCTGCATCATGTAACTGGTTAGATTATATTTCTCAGGTGTTCTCCACACATACGGATTTCGAATCTCCACATGACTTCACCACTATATTCTCAAGTGCTGTGAGTCTGGTACGAGCCCTCGGCCGCTCTGATCTGTGTATTTGCTGCATATACAATTATCAGTGCACTACACAGAAAGATTGCGTAACAATCATTGCAAACTTGCATAAGGAAACCCCACTTACAAAGCTTAACAAGTGATTATGCTGCTGCTCACATGTTTCTTTTATACTGTTAATATTTGGCTAGCCTTTGGAGCTCCAGCTGTTGCAGACTACCTTTCCCAAGGTGCTCGCTCAGCCAGCCATACGTGACATTGATCTCTACATTTCAAGGGGGGCTTTGATGAGATGAATAGAAAAGTCACCTTGCTGTTATTAGGTCCATGGTCCAAATAGAAACTATTAGGATCAGCTGAAAGTTGTTATCAGCACAGGCTAAGGAAGCCCTCATGCAGCTGTTAGGTTGAGGATTGTCATTTGCTAGGCCCTGCGTGCTTGTTAGGGGATAGCTGTGGGTACTCAATTGATTGATCTTGTTTCATAGGGGACTCATTGTTTAAATGACACATCGGGCATACTCCAAACACCAACCCACCTTTAATGCAACCATTTGGCATGCTGGTGGCTGGGAAGTAAAGGAGGTGGACTAGCGATCCGATTGTGGTAACCTGCCCCCTTGCCTGGTAGGTCAGCCTGATGTGAATGTTTAAGTGCTCCCTGCAGGGTTCTAGTGACCTGAACATAGCGCAAGAGTGTCTAATGAAGTGCTTGCGCTTTGCTTGTTGGGAACAGTTCCCTGGTGTTCCCAAAAGCAGGACACCAGAGAACTAAGTCTGGATGACAGTAAAAATGTCCTCTACCCCTCGTTTGGGGGATATTTGCTCAGAGAACAAATTGTTTGGTATCTCGGGCCTCTTTGCTGACAGGGAATCCACCTTACACAAACACAAGGATAAAGCACAGCGCTTACAGCAGCAGTAGCTTAGTATCCAACAGCTCAAAATACATAGTAAAAACAAAGAGAACGTTACCTGAGCTCTGACCTAAATCCTTATGTACATTTAAATAAAATGGAGGCTCTTATGGCCATTGGAATAAAACTAAAGAGCCTCCATTTTGTTTAAATGTACATAGGGATTTAGGTCAGGGAATCCCCCTTGCTCAAACAATTCAGGTATTACCAGCTTACACATTACTAAAACTCACTGTTTCTGCCACTTAACCTACAGGTTTTGAACAGTTGTGCCTCCTGGCGGAACATTTAGATAGAGACAACTCTATCCTATGTAGAACCTTACTTGATTCTGGCCCGAAATCCCCCTTCTGTTTACTACCGTTTGGGACGGGGATCTTGGTAAGGCAGTGGAAGAGGATATTTTTGCTTGCCCACTGGTCCTCTCTGGAGTCAAAGATCCTAGAGATGAACTACTAACTCGACCAGGTGGTATAGAACTCTTGAGCTAATTAACAAACTTGCCTCAAGGATCCTTAATATTTGCTGGCGATGCCAGTGCAGGATTGGTTAGCCTTGTGCACATGTGGTGGAGTTGTCTGCTGATTGATCCCCTTTCGAACATGATACGTGGTTGTGACAGATCGTCCGGTTACTTATACTTGGCGCCCAGTCGCCACCTTCTCCCAAAATGACTATTATCACACACTTATTCCCCCTACAGACTGTGCCTCCCAGCCCCCCCACCTCTCCCCCTTATGTCCTCCTCCTTATGTCCTCTCTTATGTCCTCACAGAGGCACAGCGCACCTGATCGGTGGCAACCCACACACCTACTGAAACTTCAGATCAGTTACCGGACTTCAAACAGAGAGCTTTTTGGAGGGGTGATATGGTAAGGTATCATATGACACCAAGGACTTAAGGGGGCTCGATATACCAACGGAGAGTGCAGTCATTTAAAATGACCAGGGCTTTCCAGTGATCTCTATGGAACTTTGTGCTGGATCAAAGGATGATCACGGCCCGGTCAAACCTCATCATCCAGACTATTCGGGCTAGACCCCTTGCATTCGAGTGCATTTTGGACTGAACACCTGTTTTGGAGAAAACTAACCGTGGGTGTCAATAGATTGGGGATGCGGTCAAGGGAACCCAAGTTTTCAGAGTGAAATACTGTGTGGTGCCGAGGTGTCTGGCCGTTAATAAAATGATCTCATCAGGTGCAGACACCTGGGCGCTAGGTATTGCACAATGTGATTGTTCTCCTGGTGATCTCTGTTGGGGACCCAAGTATAAAAATGCTACATTTATACCCATAAAACACACTTGTTTCACCCTTACATTAAGCCTTGGCTAATGTAAGCATGGGCTATATTCACTCGGGAGCTAATCAGTAAGGGGGAAAGCGGGTCGCCTGCCACATAGGTAAACTAGCCGGCATAATGGGGAGACTCCTGCGCCATCTTGCTTATTGGCATCATGCCATAGTTCCCGAGCCGACCGCAATATTCGCGCATGCACAATCAAGCCGACTACACTCAAGCTGGATTGCACCTAATTGTGTAATTGTCAACAAATAATGTATTCGCTTGAAAGCAAGGCACCCGGTGCTAAGTTTTTACTCTTTCCCCTCAAAATTAGACTTATTGGTCCCTTGTGTAACAGCCTGCATGGAATGATTAACCACTCACATGCCAGCCTGCATATATTAAATAACAACTCATGTATAAGACTGTCAAGTAATTACTTATTAGTATTTTGCTGCAAATGTGCATGCATACATTTTTACATATTATTAGCCAATAAATTATTTGATGTCTTCATGACAAATAGTTAGACAGATCCCATCACATCATGGGATGTTTATTTTGTATCTCTTTGGTCATTAAGTGGTTAAGTTGGGATCCTTGTGGGTAAGATCCACAAGGATCCCAACGTAACCCCTTAAAGTCCTTGTGGATAAGATTAATGGTGTCTAATTACTGGCATTGCCCATAACAAACACACACCCATGTATGCTTTTAGCTTGTTGTAACAAAGTGTAGAATGTTAGTGCTGTAACATAATTGAAAATCAGTGTAGTGTACATAACATAACTCTTAGCATCACTGCTATCTACAATCCCATAAGTACCTCTAAGCAGACAAGAGTTTTTGTGAGCCTTTGTTTAATCAGTGTATGTGTGCGTATGTGCGTGTATGTGTAAGAGCATGGGACTGTTCCACACATGCATTATTACATAACTAGCTCCGAGCATCAGTGAATTACATGCCCAAACCCCTCCCCTGGGTTGCACATCAGCACAAAGGCATAGAGACATGAGAGACGCATGGCTTGTAATTGGCTGACTCTGCACACTGAGCAGACCTGCCTTCTCATTCATCACTATCACCTGTGTTAACGCTGCTGCCTGCCCATATTTCATTACACAAACATGTGAATCATTTCTGCAGCCCTTGTCGCTTTGTACGATGTCACCTGCATGTTCTGTTACGCTAATCTCCTGAAATCCATAGGCCATGTTTGTGATTAGATCAAGTATTAGTGTATAAAGCTGCATGATTACACATACAAACCTATAGTCAGTGCTTAATCTAACAAAGAAGTGAGGCTTTATTGTGTTACCTCCTTTTTTTTACATAATATGTACACTGTCATACCTATTTAATAAAGCACAATAAAAATAACAAAGGCTCTGTTTTTTTTTAAATGTAATTAATTTTTTTGTTATTAGATATAGCTGCAATATTTATAAAAACAAAAAAAACTATTTAGCAACTGAGCTCTTTTGTTTTATCTCAAAACAAAATATCTCTTATGAAACAATGTATGCATTCACTATAACTTATACAACTATAACCTGTGTCATTATGTAACATGCTTACGTGTTAATCACTGAAGGTCTCTAGGGAATAAAAAAAGAAAAAAATGTCATACTTATTACACCAGCAGTTTTTAGAATATGTTCAGACCCAGGACCCAAACTGTGCTGCTATGATGGAATGTGAAGTTAAAATGTCAAACATAATTGCCTCTATATGGTTCCATAAAACAAATCCTTTGTCAAATATTTTTGAGCAGGCTTTGCCCAGAGCAGGTTTTACCTTACGGTGACCTTACGCAGCTGCCTAGGCCCCGGGTTAGACACAGTCTAACCCAGTACCCAACCTGACAGATGAGCTATGTACAGCACTGTAAGTGATCAATGCACATGGCCCTTTAAATCCTTTTAAATAATGAGTTTAGCCGTGGTGATTTTGAGTGTGCCCTTATGACGAGGTAGACACTAGTGTCTGAAAAAAAACCTGGCGAGGTCTCTGTGGCAAACGTGGCCACTTAATACTAGTACTAGCGGCCATCTTTGATCACTCCAGCCCAGCAGTGTTTGGTCGTCGAGTGCCTGGAACTAAAATTGGCTACTCGACGGCACGAACACCGCTGGACTTCCATACCGTTCTGGACAATAATTCTTTCGGTATTTTCATATAACCAGTCCATTCGTGCATTTCCATGTGTGTTAATATTAAACTGTATTTCGTATGGCGTTCGGTTAATTGTGCAGGAATCTGAGCGGTATTTCACCAGATGGTGAGCTCAGATCCCAGCTATGTAAAAAGGTGTCATTCGGTTAAATGTAATGAATGGTGTGTAAGTTATGTATTTTTCGGTGAAAAGTCATATTCTGCTGTACAGAGAGATAATTCAATTAACAGTGCATTCTGGGGTGATTATCTCTCTAGTACAGCAGTGCATGATGGGAAATCAGCCTGTAAACTAAGTCCCCCAAGTAGTCCACTACTGGACAACCCCTGCAAGGTCACTTTGGAAACCCCTTGCATGGGGAACTGCATAAATACTGTAACCTGTGAATAAAAGCTCAGTTAACTCCCAGACTATGTGTCATCTAGTTCTTGGGTGAATGGGATTATTATCACGCTACCTGGATTTCTGTATGCTGTACCTGTCTACCAGTGGAGATATTGTGGATTATACTGCCTCTCCACTACAGTCTCCCTGCATTTACCTCTCCTTAGTGATTGATTTGCTAACTGTCCAGCACCTATCAGAGATTTAGTGGCTGCAGCATAAAAGGGAAATCTCTCTTTCAATTAGGGAAATTAGGGGGTTGGATTATGGAATGGGATTAGGGAATTGATTAGAGGCAGGATTATGAGTAGGATTAGTGGGAAGTCTATGAATTTCACCAAAATAAAACACAAGTGGGAAAAACAAGCACAAACAAATATTAATATTTATATACTATTTTGAACTAAGTTCATGACGTAAAGGTTAAATGGAAAGTGTAAAAATGCTCTTAGTTAAATAACCAGGGGGATGAACTTTCTACAAATATATACTTTTGTGTAGGTGTTTTGGATCTTCTGACTACTGTGAAACCCTCTCAGCATGCCATATCTTGCAAGGTTTTAGCTTCAAAACCATAAGTCACTCCTTTCCATATTTATTTATAACTTCTAAAAATAATTGAAATCCTAGACATATTGAGAATTTTAACAATCAGGATTAATCTGTAAATTTATTTTTAGTTAGTTCTCTGTAGCTGCACTTGTGTAGAACTTATTACATGTAAAACTGAGAAAAAAAATTTTTTTAACCCCACCCCCATTTTTAAATATTCCCTTCCTACTTAATATTGTGTTATATATATGCGTATAGGGTACAAAAATAGCAATTTCTCTCATTTAAAAAAATAAATAAATAAATAAATAAAAATATATATATATATATATATATATATAGGTGCACCTAAACAGAAAGGGTGACATTTTGGAAGAATAAACATGACATAAGTGTCAGAATGCATTGGCCACAAACGCGTTGCATCTCAAAATAGTCTTGGTCCTTAAAGGATTAATACAACTCTGGAATTGTGCAGATAACATTGTAAAATATCTGGTACTCCAACTAATCTAAAATAACAATAATAATGAACAAAATAGAGGTACTGTGGGGGTGGGGCCTGACAGCAGAGCTAGCCGGACGTGCATGCAGAGAGCTCTGACACAAACGAGATTAAAATTGGCTATTACTGGCCAAAACCTTGAATTTAGCAGTCCTGCTCAACGAAAAATCATCACTAGACTGCGTGGAGGCTCGTTGACATCTGTTTTGTGAACTTTTTTCGAGAAATACCACACTCCACAAATGCGGCCTAGCAAGGACAGCGGCCTCATGGTTGGGAGAGGCGGCCGATCCCCCACCCTGGGGCTTGCTACAAGCAGCAGCTCACCTGGCATCCTGCATCCCCCCCCTCTGGACCGGTGGGGGTCATCCCGGTCCCCACTGGGGAATCCCACAAACTCACCACGAGGGACTGATCTGCTGGAGGGAAGACCGCGGCTCGGGCCCAAAATGGCCGCCGAGCAGCAATCTCTGCAGTTTCAAGCAAGCCCTGAGATCCAGACCTGGAGAGAGCGCTTTGAAGCCCGCTTTGACCGAATCTGCCAGGAATTCTGGAAGCGCATGGAGCATAAAGCCACCCATTCTGACCTACCTGCCATGAAGGTGAAGGAGGCTGAAGCGGCAATTCACCGATCCAGTGCCCACGCGGAGTTGCGCCCATCTTGCCGACGGGCCCGCCGGCGGACTCTCCCGACACCGAACCGAAAAGCAGCATGCCAACACCGACCACTCACCTTACAACCTTGCCGCAGCTTCTATGCACGACGCTCAGATGGGAGCCGACTACATACTCGCGGACCCCTCCGCCGGAGAACACACACATGGCAACACAGATTCGGAGCACAGAGAAGGCCCAGAGACCAAGTCCCAGCAACTGGACTAGATGGCCTTTCAGCCGGCGCTGAACAAGAGCACACAAGCGCTTGGGACTGGTACGGCGCTCACCTGCAGAGAGGTGGTCTTATGATCCCCAGGGGTGTCAGTCTGCCATCAATAGGCATAGGTTAAGCAAGTAGAGGCACTTAATCCCCACTTGCCGCATGGAGATGAGCAATAACCACCACTGGCTCACCTTTCCACTGCGTGCTCTCCGGGGGAGATATTACCCTAGGGTTCTACTGTTTTTTACACTTTCCCC